TGTGTGTAAGGGGGGGGGGTAAAAATTTCATCATGAAATTTTGACTGGAGAGTCAGATTTTCATGGTACACTTGGTGTGGACAGTTGAGTTATATCTGCATGTGTAAATCTGAAATCTTTCAATAAATTATTACCATAATAATTATAAGTGAGCATGTGGGAAAAAAAAAGATTTTGATGTTTGCTAAAATTTATTCACAGGATGGCACGTGTAATGGTCTGCAGCACTATGCAGCTTTGGGTCGGGACCAAGCTGGTGCCAAGTCCGTCAACCTCGCCCCTTCGCCTGTACCTTGTGACGTCTATAGTGATGTAACTGAGTTGGTAAGTGACAGTGAAATCAGTGTCTTTATCGTCTGTAGCTGTGTTTTCTGCATGGACTTATTAAATGCTGTTGTAACTATGCATATTGGTTGGTGACCTTTACAATGATATATATATATATATATATATATATAGCCAGTTGTGAAGAGATCTTGCTGTACTAAGACATCTTGACTCATCTTCTTGATATTTAATGTCATCTGCTGTGTATGGATTTTGAATAATTGGGTTAAGGAGCAGCTAGTACACGTGTTTACTAACAAAAACACTGGGAATTGACTTATTGAAAATCATTTCAGTTTCTCCCTTATCTGTGCAATATCTTACATGGCCCACTTGTCAGTTTTAATGACTTTTCTTCTTCCTGCTACTTTTTACAAAGGTGGAAAAAGAAAGAGAGGCTGATGCTGCAAAAGGCAATGAAATAGCGAAAGTTTTAGAGGGATTTGTTAGTAGAAAGGTAAGAAAAAACAGGTCATGAAACTCTTCCTGATAATTCTGGAGATTCAGATTGACTTCCATTTTCAGAGATTTTGTCAAAGGTGACTGAACATGCAGTATTTATTCACATATTTCAAATATCTTGCATACTCCATTTTAATTGTACTACTAGCGTGAAGCTGGTGGTACACATGGTTTTAGTCCCGACCGGTATCATCTGCCAGTTCTGTTGTCACGTCACAGTTACTGCTTATCCTAGACTACAAGAGCCTGTTTACCCATCTCTTGTATGTAGGTCACATATAATCTCAACTTGATCTATGTAAATTTTGGGCAGAGATATGCCATAGTTACTACTGAACTTGAATATGAACTCATATATTGACAGTCTTCCAGTGACCTTGAATTTGACATTTTACCTACTTTTCACAAGGAATCCCACTTCGCAAATTTCAAAGTTCTCATTGAACGCTTGCTTCGAACATCATACTTGAGTTTGTTCTATTTTTTTTTTAAGATTAAAATAGGTATGTCATATTATTTAAGTAGGTTTAGATCAAAGAGACATAAATGCTGTTATTGACCTGATGTGCTATTTCAGGTGATCAAGCAAACTGTGATGACCACTGTGTATGGAGTAACGCCTTATGGAGCCAAGCTGCAGATTCTCCGTCAATTGACAGAACTTGAGGGTTTCCCTCACAAACATGATAAAGAGGCTGCGAAGTATCTGGCAGAAAAGACATTCAAAGCCATTCGCAATATGTTCAAATCAGCCAGAAGAATCCAGGTAGTTGCTGGATATGAATTATAAGATAGTTTACTTTTCTCAAGAAAAAAGCAGTGATAAATTGAATTTATAGTTGTTGTTTTCCATGTCATTTCATTGGTAATTTCCTCTGTTTGAAAAAGTAAAAATTGTAGTCATTTTGAAGTAAATTGTGCAGTCTTTTTTAGCCATTGACATGGTGTTTCCTGTATCGGAAGTTCATTTTCAATTTCAATTTTTTAAATTTACTTTTGTAGGACTGGTTTATACAGACTTCTGTTGCTGTGTCCAAAGTGTGCTTAAAGCCAATGGAGTGGACCACTCCCCTAGGTTTTCCCGTCATCCAGCCTTATTATAAAACAACAAAATACAATATTAAGGATGGCAGCAAAAAATCTGTGAAACTAATTAAACCCAATGCTGTGAAACAGAAGAATGCCTTTCCACCAAACTTTGTTCATTCATTAGATGCCACTCATATGATGTTGACTTCCCTGTACTGTTTAGAGTAAGTACTGGTTTTGGCCTGTCTGGGTTGCAGTGCCCTCTCGTGGCAAGAACAGATACAATTTGGGGAAAGCTTGAAACTTAGCTTGGGAATTTTATTTTAAAAAAACATTTGAAAAATTGTTAAAAAGAAAAGAAAAGAAGTCAAGACTTTGATATGGTTGTTCTCTAATGTCTCTTTAATCTTTTTTGTCATTCTTGCATATTATACATATGTTACTGTGTCATTTTGCATGGGAGAAAAGACATCTAAGTCCAAGCAGTAACGTTTCATTGCAGTGCAATTCACCCAAAACAGAGAAGTAAGAAAAATTCCAATCTTTTTTTTTTCCACCTTTACAGAGCAGGAATCACTTTTGTGTCAGTACATGACTGTTTCTGGACACACCCTTGCGATGTGGAAATAATGAACAAAATATGTCGAGAGCAGTTCATCGCTCTCCACAACCAACCAATTTTGAGTCAGCTATCAGAGGAGCTTTGTGAAAAATATGGATTTAGTGAAAGGTATGAAAGGTATCATAGTCCGGGAAATGCGAAAAGGAAAGGTCTTGAAATTGAAAACTGTTGAAGTGGATATTTTGAATTGTTTTTATTTGTAAATAAGTTTAAGGAGAAAAGTTAGTGATAAGGAAGTTTGTACAAATGGATATTTGAATTTCTTTAGTAGTTTATTAAATTTTTTTACAAAAACTACATGATCAGTAAAACTGAAAAAGGGGAATTGATTTTTGAGTTTTGAAATTGTTACTTGAGACATACATGCATGTCTTTAATTTTGCAGTGATTATAACTCACATTTAACTTCATTTTCTTTTAGAGAAGCATCTAAAAATCCTTCAATTGCACATTTAAACGGAATTCTCAGGAGAGTGCCAAAAAAAGGTAAAGACAAGTGTAGTAAGCACTGTTGAATAAAATTTAACCCAGATGTGGTTTTACAGGGCATTGCCCAACCCCCAGTTTTCTTTCTGATAGGAATACAAGTATCACAGGCATAATCTGCCTTTTATTTAATTATATTTTTTATTTGCAATGTACTTCCAACTTTAACACAAAATAGCCCACAAATAGCAAATGGAGTCATGTTAAAGTGAAAAAAAAATTTTTTTGAAAACCATTTCAATCTTTGGTATTGAAGCATCTTACGTTTTTGTTATCTCTAATATCATTCTTTTGTGTTGTTTGTGTTCCAGGTAATTTTGCCTTAGAGAAAGTAAAGAAGTCGGAATACTTCTTCAGCTAGCACTCCCCCTGGTAAAGACGAGCCACTATTCTTTCTCCATAGCACAGGAACATGTTGTGATATGGTTTACACATGCCTGGATACTTCTTTTCTGCCCACTCAGAATCTTTGAAAAGATTGACCAACAGTGACCATTTATGATAAATGTGTCTGGATGATCACAGAAGCACCTTTTATAGATTAAATCACTTAGGGATAAATATGTGGCAGATTTCTCATATTCATCTTTTTTTTAACATTTCTGATATGGTTTTGTTATTTCTACAACAATTATGCATAAAATTTGAAAATCAGTGAATCTATTACTTCTTCAGTAAGAATATATGGTTGGTTTTCGGGTAAGTGGCGATTTGAATAGTCCAAGAGAGGTTTTCTTGTCAGAAAGTTTTTTATGGGAGACATGAATGTTATTGTGCACCATTTGAAGACTTGTAATAATGATTATCTGAAAACTTTTGGTGGAAAAAATTATGAGTAAAATTATGTCACATCCACTTGTTTCACCAATGTAGATTGAAAGTGACTGTTTGCTTAATAAGTCTGATTAATTTTTTTTTTCCAAAAAGGCATCCAATACGTAATCCTTCTCTTATGTTTTACTGATACTTAAAATATATTGAAATGGCGTTGGGGGCATTTCCATGTTCTGTCACATTTTTTAAATTGTGTAACTTCATACTTAGATGTCTCATAGTTCTCACATTCTAAAAATTGCTCCACTTGTAAGAGAATGAATTATTGGTCACATGTACGGAGGACAAAATGACAGACAGATTAACCAACTCTACATATTCAAATACCATGTGCATTTTGAAATTCTTGGGTTTTTTTTTTTCTTCCTTTGTAGGATTGTGATAAGTAATATGTCCATTCATTACTTGCAATCAATACATTAGCAAGTATTTTTTATTGAACTTCTCAGGAGAATATTGTAAACCCTCATTGTCTTTCTATGAGCCTGTTCATGACTGCATATTGATTCATCACAGTTGTAAATAATAAAAATGCCATCAGTCCATGTTAACATTGACATATCTTGGAGACTCTTTTTTCAACTTTGTACATTCAATCCAAATGTTAATTCTGGAACACAATGGGATTGAAATGGTAAATTATTGAACAAAATGCAAACTAAATAAATGAAAAATATATTAGCCTCAGTCTTGACTTCTTCAAAGAGTCACTTTTTCAGTCCAGACAAATTCTAGCACGCCCTGAAGAACAGTTTTACCACTTTATGGAAAAAATTGATGGTTAAAATATAGCAGTACAATTAACATGATACAGTTTTATATTTGATATTTTATTTGGTATAAATGTGACAGGAAACAATTTTACCAGATAAAAATCATTCAAAATAAATAATCTGGCAATGATATATCAATATTCAAAACTAAAATCTCAATACAGTACTTTAAAGACCTATCTCATGATATAAATAAAAAAGAACTATAAATAGTAAGTAGTAAATGGATGATGTCTTTATGTATGTAGATCTACACAATGAGATGAGATGAGATGGGACAAAAAAAAAAAAAAAAAGGATGGACAAATCAAAACATTCTACAAGTTGTGACAAGGCATTTACCTTGCCCATGTCTGACCAATTTCTGTTGAACTCCATGAGTAATAAGTTATTATTCTAAAAAACAAACCAGGTCAAACATTATACTTTATGCAGCCATTTGTATGCTTTTTGTTCATATAATTTTTAAGATCTCAACAAAACGGTTTCAAAACCTTATTCTTGATAAGTTCTAAAGAAAAAACGCACCATCAATTTAAAGAAAAATCTGCACATCTTTTTTGGTGCTTGTGCATAGACAATAAAAAACTACGATCTGGATGAAAGTTGACAGAAAAAAAAGGCAAGCCAATTAAAAACATGAAAATGGCTAACTGAGATCTTTGCAAACAAAACTGGAAATCAGACAAGTTCATTATCAGATGGTTTGATCAAATGGGAATCGAAGAAGCCGTTAAGAACAGAAGAAATGAGGATCTACTGATCCACAGATCTAATATGGCGGACCCCACATGAAAGAAAAGGCGACTGATCTGCTGATGGTCTCCCCGCCTCCACATGTGCCGTCCTTGAAGAGGTCTAGCAATTAAACCTCGGAGCCAATATTTAATCTGTTTTATTGGTGCACATGGAGATGGGGAGACCATCAGCAGATTAGTTGCCTCTTCTTTTGTGTAGAGTCCACCATATTTGAACCATGGATCAGTAGATCCTCGGATCTTCTGTTCTGAATGGCTTCTAAATGTTTATGGCACAATGGGATGTCTCTTTAACCTGACTGGTGAATGCTGCAATCCCCTGCCTAGGATAACATTCCAGTCTGTGACCACACTCTGGATATTCCTAGGGCAGGCAATATCTTTATGCAACCTGAATCTGCTACAGGTGTTCTCTTTTTCTCTCATATGGGGAGTATTCACAACCAGTTGATCTGCTGGCCAACTTATCCGCTGATCAAATATGGCGTGACCCACTGGAAAAACATGGCGAGATTGAATTGTTCTAACCTGCTGGGACGGCGCGAGTTGAAAGCAAGAATGTATTGGCTAGGGCGCACCATATTTGATCCGTGAACTAGTTAGTCCATAGATCAACTTGGTTGTGTGTGCAGCCATATATATAACAGGTCCTGCTAGCTGCCATATGGTGTCCACGTTGGTGGGTGAGATCGAGATTGCACAGAGTCGAATTCCCTGACTAGATCTTCCACCTGCCTGCTGCTGGACTCCTGAAAATGAGACAGAACTATACTCAATATGAGCTGATCAGACATGAAAAAAAGAAAGGTGTCCTAACTTTCCCATCTACATTGCCCTTTTTTCTTTTCCCTTCTCTCTCTCTCTCTCTCACTCACTCTC